TAACTGGAATTGCATGGAATTGGAGGGAATGTATGTATCAACTTTGGTTCATTTGCTATGTTCTCTTCCATATTTTTTGTTTTTCTATTTAACTTATGTCAACTTTAATTTATTGCACATTATTTTTTAGAATGCTTGTTACATATGTGTACAATTTATATTGCATTTATTGCAAAAGTTCTTGCATTCTTCATGTTGACTTTTAAAATGAGATTTTTCAAAGTAAAATTTTTCTAATATAAGTTATAACTACTAGATCTTATTCTTTATATTGAAGTTTATGTTGGGTGCATCCAACAGTTCTATTTTGCTACTTAATAATAATTGTTAATTTTGGTTGTGCAAATTCTTACAAGGTAATTATCTTAGTTGAATGATTCCACATGAAATAGAAAACATTTCACTGCTTCAAAATTTGTGAGTTTCTCTTTTAGTTTATGCTTCTTTTTTTTGTTTGTATTTAATTATTTGGATGTGGGTTAAATTCTAAATAGTTTAAATCAAATAAAATTATTATAAATAGTGGATTAAACTCTACTATTTATAAGAATATAACATTAGTATTATTGGCTCAAGAGAAATTAACAAGCGAGAAAGATACAAACAAATGAACAATTAAATTACGAATGATCAAGTAGTAGATATTTTGAGTTGTTCAAAAAGTAATAACTCCATTCATTAATATGAATTAATGGAGTAGAAAATAATCTTTTACTCTTAATGAATGTATCGGCAATTTAGCATTACCTAATGCCATATCCACACCACATGGTAAATTTTTATAGATGGTAACATTTTTACCATTAAAAAATATGTTTACATTTTTGTGGATAATTTTATATATAGAGAATGCTATTAGCGTTAGGACTAGTAAGTCTAATGTGTCATGTTTAAAATTTGAATGAGTTATTATAAAGGCAAGAACAAGAAAAGTCAGATATAAAAAAAGAGTTGAGCGAAAATAGAGAAATGAAAAAGGAATTAAGTAATACTAAAAAGTAATTAATAGCTTTAATTCAATATTTAAGATTTTTTTCATCTTGTTCTCAACTATCACTTAACACAGCAGTGAAGATAACAATGATAATTATGTTGATATTTGATTGTAAAAATCATTATAATATTAAATATTATGTTTAATATAACATATGACTATATTTTTTTAATTTACATTTTTATACTATACGTGAACATAAAATAAACAAAAAAAATTGTGGTCATTTGTTTCAAAAGTTTAGTAGTTTATTGGTTTATAAGATTTTTATAAAAATTATTAAAAATTTATTTTAAATATTTATCTATTTTTATGAATTATTTTAGATTTATATTAATTTGATGATAGTAAAATAAAGTTAAAAAAATTTTACAATTTTTTTTTTGTAAAATTAGTTGTATGAAGTATTTTTATTTTGTAAATTTTTTTTTTTTACAAATTTTCTAAGGAAAATTTTTATAGATAAATTTATAAGAAATTTACTTGTGAACTTTCTTACAAATTTTTCAAAAAAAGGAAAACCTGCAAATTTACAGGAAACATGTTTCCTATAATTTTCATGATTTTTTGCAGAAAAACTTGTAAAAAGACTCTAAAATTATACTAGTTTAAATAATGAAAGAAGTTTCTAAGGTAAATTTACATGAATGTAAAACATTTAAAAGATAATGAGTAAAAAAGAAAAAAAAAATCAACTAACTTTGAATAAGGTAAATTTTACTTGAACTAACGTAAGTTAAATTTTAAAAGTTATAAATTTCTTTATTTATTATTTACTAAAAGAAACTCTATTAGCCTATTATAAAAAATATATAAAAATTATTAAATAAATTAAAATTATATTATTAAATATACTAAAAATATATTTATTAAATAAATATTAAATTAAATTGTATATCCATTTTGAATGTTGCCACCATACATCACCATTGTCACCAACCATGCTCTTATATTTGTATTATTTTATCTCTATTTTTTGGAATAAAAAACTTTCATTAAATGTGTTTCATAACCTAGCGCACCAATTGATCTAAGCCTTAGATCTTTTTGGTAACTCGTTACTTGTAAACTTTAGTCTATTAATTTTTATATTTTTGATAATGTTTGTTTAAATTCTCTTAAAAATCATACTCATGATTAACATATGACCCTTGTCTTAAAATTTTATTACATTTTCTAGCATGTACACAAAATTAAACGGGTAACTTAGTTCAAAACTCTAATTTTTAACAATGATATAATGAAAGAATTAATTTGATCATAAAAATAAAAATTAAAGGACTAAATACTAAGACAAAAATAAAAATTAGAAGACTAAATTCATCTAACATAAATTTAGAAATAAATTTAAAGAACTAAATCACTTATTTAGTCAAGAATTTAAAGAATGCAATTTTGATTTGGTTTGGATTATTTTTTAATTAACTATATGAATTTTTTATACTATAGTTTAATATATTTATTAGATTAAAATAATTTAAATTGAACTTAAACGCCCTTTATCCTTAGGAATTTTTTGGGGGTCATTGTTTATAAGAATGACGAAGTCAACAATTTGATGATTTGTTTTTGGGCAAAATCAAATTGATTATTTGAAGACTATTCCATGAAGAAGAATAAGGCCCATATCCATGCAAAATAAGCGACAAATCCAACTTTTGTTTTCCTTATGGGTCCGTGCAAAGCAGCCTACAACGCCAACTTTGGCTATTTTCCAGACCAAATAATCTAAAACCACGCAGCCGAACAGTATGAAAGTGTCAACAGCGACGTGTTAGACACAACAAATTATTAATATGTAGCATATTAATTCTATTTATGTATATATTTTGAGAATATGGAAAAGGGAAAGCAAATATTACAAATGGCCACTAAGCTAACCATTAATTAGCTGGACCTTTCCCCTTTTGTGCAAAAGCCAGAACGGCATTTGATCTGAAATCACCTTTTCTATTCTTTAATGAATTACGTTCTCGGTATAAGCATTTTTAGCAAAAAGGGCATATGATGATGCTTCATTTCAAAGTAAAGGAAGTCACTACATTTTTTTTAAAAAAAATTTAAAGAAAATTTATATTTATCTAATGTAAAAAAACTGAGTACAAACTCAATTTTACCACTTATTAGATATGAGATTTCATCTTTTTCTTATTAATTTATAACAAATTAATTTTTAATGAATTTGATTGTAGTGTTAATGTCTTATCTTAATTAAAAATAGAAATAGAATATTCTTTATATGGGTTAGAGAACTCTCCTTCAAAGAAATAAGTTTTGAAAGTGTGTTTAGTTTAGTTTTTAACGTAGTATCAAAGCAATAAGATTGAAGTTAACGATAATTTGTTTTTGTTCCGTTGAGCTATAGATAATTGATCATGGATTTTACCACAAAGTCTACAGGAAACTGGATTGCTCACTTTGTTTTTGGAAAAATGAGATGATGGGAGTGCAAAACATATCATCAAATCAAATCAAAGCAAAGCACAATGGAGTGGATGATTCGGATACTCAATCCAGCCGATATGCCTTGTGTCTGCCCTATCCTATGCCTCTACTATTTGGTTGGTTTTATATATATGGATATGTCTTAACTCGTATGGCTATTATAACAAGATTTGAAGATTGGACATTTATTTATTTTTTACTCCAGCAGCATTCAGCTGAATTAATTAAATGGCAACTTGACCCGTCTTTATTCCTTATTTATTGAAACATTTCTTTTGTGGATAAACATCACTGAAATTCCCATGCATCTAGCACATTCACACAAGACATGGAGTAAAGAAAATGACGTGGGACAGATAATAATAAGTTAGAGAAAATGGCAACGAGAGCTGAAGAAAATCCTAATAATAATAATGAAAAACATGAGAGATGAGAACATTATTTTGGCTTAACTTAAGACGGATGCAATTGATTAGTTCTCCACAGTCTATTCCACTCACTACTCATTGGAATCATTGTTTAGATTGTCTGCAAGAATAAGATTGGAACAATGGATGGTTTTATCAACAAGCAAGCGATCGAGAGTAGCATCCCCTCATTAATTTGTCATAAAAATCGTAAATAATTTATAAGAACGTAGTATACAAAGTTTGAATTTTATGTTATTACCATGTATTTTCGAATCTTTTTATTTTAGCGTCAAGGTCACCGCTAAGGTTTATTTCTGGGTCATGTGCAACGAAGCATGACAAGACACGTTAAAGTTTCTGCAAACCTACAAAAATATCCGAAAACGATATGTGTGTTTCATCTTGAGTAACGAGAGGAAACACCCACATGCTATTATTCCTTTTAGCTACCGCTAGAATGCCAATGTGACCTTCAAGAATCATTATCACCCATTTTGTGGGCAGTTTTATTTACACCAAACAAATATGTAATATGCAAATAAATTGTTCGTCCATAATATTATTATTTACTTCTTCCAACACAAATTTACTATTGGATTTCACTTTTGTTTATTCAATTTTCTTAAGTAACCAACAAAGGGGTCGAAGAAGAAAGGATTCCAATTCTTTAAGCAATAAGCATCTGATCTCAAGTTCAAATTTAAGATTCATGTACAATGAAAAAGGAAAATATTTCTATTATATATTAAGTGAGATATTTTTTCAGTATTTTTTTCATTTTAAAAAGTATTTTTAAGATAAGTAAATGAAAAATAAAAATAATTGTATATATTATTGTATACAAACTTAGTTTTTAGATGTTTAAATAACATATTGAAAATTAGTCTTCTAATTATAACAAAGGTTAAAAGGTAAGATGAATTTATTAAAAATGATTTTTTAATCAATACCCTGTATTTACTAATTAGTAAAACCTTTTACTAAAGACATGATATTTGAAAATCTAACAAAGATTGCATTGAACATTAAATGACTTTAAAAGAAAAACTTCAAACATGCAAGTAATTAACATATCAATGAGATTGTTCGTTCATGTATATGCACCAAAGCCATAGCTCCAAATGCAACTTTAATTTACATAGATATAATAATCAGAACAATCCATGTTGTTGTACACGATACCCGTTTGTGTTACGATCACTATTTTCATCTTTTTCCCAACTCTCTTTCTCCATCATGTGATACCGAAAACTTTCCACAACACTCTCCGGTACCGACACAAGCACTCTCACCGCATTAGCATTTCCAACAACGGGTAAAAACAAGCAATAAACATCACTTGTTAAAGGACCCATATGCAAGGGTTTCCCTCCTCCAAAGTCCACATCCTCTAACCCTAGCCTAGACCACTGTGATATAACCAAGCTTCTAGAAACATCCATTTTTACTGTTTTGTCCTCCAACAAATCAACCATCGACCTTATATACCCATCATCCTCCAAAGCACACTTAGCTTGTTGCACCAGTTTCAAACCGTGTCGCAGGTTTTTATCAGCAACCAAATCCTTAACCGTGCTCTCAGCACACGCTAAGACGAACCCATTCCCATAATACCCTTCAGGGAGGTTCACCTTTTTCCTAACGTTAACGGAAAAAAGGAGCTTTACCGTTAGTGTGGGACACAGGTTCAGGGATTTAACCCACGAGCGCCACGTATGCGCCGCAATTGTTTCGAAGGTGGTGTTGCATTTCAGCGACGGCACGCACTGCTTCTTCAAGCGAAGCACTTCGGAGTGGTCGAAAGTGAAGGACGTGACCACCAGTGGCTGCGACTGCATCAACTTGAGCAGGTCCACTTGACAAGTGGGTTTTGTTCTGGTGTATTCTGGGTGGGGGAAGTTTACCTCCGGGGGTTCTCGAGGTTTCAACACGTGTCGCTCGTGGAAGGGCACGATTGTCAAATCCGCTTTGGGGTCTTTGGTCAGTTGGGCCCATGCGTGTAAAAACTGTGACGTGCCGATGCCGTCGCATAGACAGTGGTTGATCGCCGTGCACAGGATCATCCCTCCGCAACGGAGATTCGTCACCTGAAAAAAAAATAAAATTACTAAATATTTTAAATTATTAACAAAGTATTTTTTTATAGCAAAATATATACATATTATTAACAAGCTGGTCAATTTATATTTAATGGCTTTCTAAAATTTTAAATTTACTTAATTTTTTATTTAAATTTTAGTTTTTTATATTGTGTTGAAAAGTATAAAATAAAAAAGTAACAAACAATATAAATTTTTATTAAAAATTATAATATTTATAATTATAATTTGTTTAAATCTATAGTGTTCATTTGATTTAGAATTAAATAGAATCAATTTTAAACTATAGTGTTTATCAAAGTATATAAGTTTTATTGAAAAAAATATATATGATAGTTATTTTTCAAATTTAAAATTAACAAACACAGAGAAAGAGGGAGAGGAAATGCGCGGCCCAATGACTGAAAGCACCCTGTCTGTAGTTATCACCACTAACCATGGTTTCTGAAAGTAACAACTAAGGAGGGATTAGCACTTTTCTTTTCGTTTTAAAGTGAATATAATATACTTCCTTGACTTTTTTATATTACCTACCTTCTCCCCCAAATTCAAGCTTTTACTCGAACAATGTGATGGCAAGTATCCAATTCCAATGTAAACTTTTTTTCTATATCAAGTTCATGTATTGGGTAAAATATATGACTAGTTTGTATTATATATTTCTTTAATTTTTTTTTATAGTTAATAGCATCACATTTTACTAAAATTATTTTTTCACCGTAAGTTCAAAGACACGTAATAAATGATTTATATATATCAATTTTTTATTAAAAATAAAAAATTATAAAATTTAATTTATTAATAACATTATATGTTTTAATATACGTTACAAAAAATCTAAATTAAATCCTTCTAATTAATTAAATAATGAATTAATCATAGAGAATATAATTAAATCAGGGAGAATTAACAGAAAATCTTGTTCTGGTTTATCCTGTTATATATGCTAAGAAAAATAGTTCTTTCAAGTATACATATGCATAGGAAAATGAAAGAAAAGAGAGAAAATTGAATGACAATGAAACAGAGAAGTGTTTCACATGATCTGACCTGGATCACAAGAGGAGGAACATCTAAGAAACTTTGAGCTTCGACCTTGTACAAGAACTTTCTCCATGACTTGTTTGGTACCTTGGAAGATTCAAGCAATTCTTCAGCGGTGGAACCAATGAAAGCCTCAGCAAAAACAGCACCTTCTCCATTGCAATCCACCTCAAGCTTGTGATCATCCCCATAAATGCTGGTCCTTAACCTCCCAGCCAAAGGGTAGTAATCCACCAAAATTCTAGACAGAGAACACTTCAACACATCCAAGCTCACAGATTCTTTGAAGATATACAAATACTTAATGGCGAATCTAAGGAACTTTTGGTCGTCAAGATTAGATAGATAGAGAGAATGCTTTGGCGTTGGAGCACTTGGGGGTATGGTAATTGGTGGCCCAGGGTAGAAACAATCTGGGACTTGCACAGATTTTGACATGTTTTTCTATGTATATAATTCGTGGGATTTCAATTGATGTGCAAAGTTTAACTTGGAAATAGTTGTAAATTGTAACGATGATATTGATGACAGCAGATGAGAGAAGATAAGGAGAGAAAAAGAAACACAGAAATTATGGTGTGGGAGTGGGAGTGGGAGTTGATTGAATAGAAAGGTAAGACAAGTGTAAGAATTAAGATGCAAAAGAGAGCTTTTGTTCGTACGAAAACTTTGTTACTACTGTTCTATCTTTTATACTTGTAGATAATTTTTAAGTTTGGTTAAAATTTTAAAAAACTATTTATGAAAAAATATATAAAAAAGAATTTTGCCAACTTAAAATAGGATTGAGGATAAATAGTTAATAATAATAAAATTTTATTAAAAAATAAATATTTATTATATTTTTATAATTTTAATAAAATAACTGTATTTTTTTTATAATTTTTTTTTATTTATGAATATTTAAACTCAATTTTAAGAACTAAAATTAATAAAATTATAAAAAATTAATATTTTTATAAGTTTTTTAATTTTAAAAAAAGTTGTTTTAATTAATTATAAAATATTTATAAAATTATGTAATTGTTTTAAGTGCTTACTATGATTTAAATTTATTATTTTATAGAAAAACATTCTTTTATATATATATATATATATATATATATATATATATATATATATATATAAACGACTAACTTTAATAGTTGGAGCGAAGAACGGGAGAAGAGCGAAGAACGGGAGAAGCGACCGGTAAACGACTAACTTTAATAGTTGTAGCGAAGAATGGGAGAAGCGACCGGTGATTCTGAAATTTACGGTTTGGATAAAGGGGGGAGTGGTTAGCATGAGATTCCTTTTTAGCACAGGGAGGCTAAGGTGAGGACAGGCTCATCATAAATCATGTGTGCTCTTTTTAACTATTGTTTCCATAGAATATATTCTAATTGCTTTTATTCGGTAAGACAAAAATGGAAAGACACCCCAACTTCTCCTGCCAAATGGAGAAATATCACCGCTAAGTGAAATTCACGGACCAGAAAATTTTTTGCATAGTTAAAGATTATGCCATCTTAATTACTCATACATATTTTCCAAAATTAAATAATTTTCATCTCACCGATTTAGTAATTGCGCTCCCTAGATGCTAAGTGGGATTTGTACATGTGACAATATAAATTTTTAAGTAAGGTAAAGTTTTAGTTTTAATTATATAATAATACTAAAAATACTGCACTTAAAATTTATCTTATCATAAAATACATAGATATTAAAATAAATGGATAAAAAATGTTAGCTATTACTTTATACATAAAAAAAATAAGCTAAAACACTTATTTTTGTTACCAAAAAAGTATTTATTTTTTGGAAGAGTAAGTTTTATGTATATTTACTGCAACACCATTATGTAAGCAGCAATTTAAGCCTTTATTAATAAATTACTCTTTCTTCCACTTAACTGATTCTTGTTCCTCTTTTTACCAATCTTATCAATTAAGTCATAAAATCAAGTGTTAAATTTTTGGTGAACGATAAATGAGTGCATGGTGTAGTCCCAGTCACTCATATTATATTATATGCCAATTTTTTTATAATTTATAAAGAAAATGTTTACGTGAGTACCACAGAAAAAAATTCTCCTCAAGAAAGGAATGGTGGAGTGGTCCTTGTTTGTTGAAATTAATAGGAACTGAGCTGAACTGGGGCGGTAGTTTCACGGATATTCAAAATGCATGTAGACTATAGTTCAATGCACGCGTTGATTTCATTGCTTCTTGTTGAAATTTGGTAGCTAAGCTATAAAACGTGTCACGTCTTGAACGACTTCATATCTCATTTTGACTATTCTCATTAATGCAATTCTCTGTATCCTACGAATCTACAATTATCTTGTTTTTTCAACCATAAGAGAAATAATAAGAAAAAAAGTAATCCTATGTTTTTGTGCTATCATCAAATTTTACAAAATTTAAGATAGACCATTGATTGATATGAAATATAAAAAGAAGAAAAGTGAATGGTCATAAATTAAAATTCTCCTAGCGATTTTTTAATTAATGATTTTGATGTTATCACTTGTTTGTTCCTTTACGGAAGCGAAGAGATCCTTTTTAGAATGCTTCTTTATTTCATGTTTTATGTTTTCATATAATAAATTTAAAATGAAAATCACGTATATATATATATATATTTATTGTATATGTGATAATAATTTTAAAATAGATCTAAGCAAAAAAATAAAAATAAAATAAAATACCTTTAATTTAATTCTTACTTTTTATTATTGATATAATACCGTTGTTAGAGTTTTAGATAACGAAATCTAAGGGTTAAATTAAATTAAGATATTTATATAGAATAAAATTTTGAAAATTTAATTTTTATTGAGTTTAATTATATGACGTTAATATAGGCGATTTTAGTAGAAGAAGAATAAATTGTTATTGTGTATAAAATAAAGTTATATATAAAAAGTAAATAAAAATATATTTAAAAACTTGAGAAGCTTTTGGAAAACGGTGTCCCCGCTGGGCATGTAAAGAGCTCAATCACATTATGGACGTAGCTGTTACGCTGACGACAGTCCCACTTCATAGTCGCAGACTGGAAACTGGAAAGTGCAAAAAGACACGGAGCTTATTCAAGCAGATTAATAATTTTTTTTAATCCCTAAAGTATTTTAATATTTTTAATTTCTATATATAAAAAATATATATAATTTTAACCTCTCATTAAAAGCTTAGATTATGATTTTTTATAGTTTTAAAAATTTAGAATGAATAATTTTTTATATCGACTAAAATTAAAAAATATGATATTTTTAAAGACTAATAAATAATAATTTATTTAAAATATTAAAAAATTATATTAAAAAAGTGTTTGAAAGCACAAAATAAATATTTTTATATTTTTTCATAAATTTTTAATCAATATTCTAGAATCACCATCTTGTTTTTATCTCGTAACTCAATGAATTTGTTTGTGCTAGATACTGTAATTCTAGTCTTTTATTGATTGCTTTCGATTTATAAACTATAATTAAGTCGTAAAAATAATTTATTAATTAAATATTATTTTAACTTTTATTTATCTGTTTGGATATATATACATATACATAATTTTATTAAATTTTTTTAATATTTTTTGTTTATCTTTATTTATTTATCTTTTAATTTTAAGGATATTTAAATAATATAAATATTTATTCATTATAATTAAAGTTTTTATAGAAAAACAGTATTTTAAGAGCACATTTTAAACTTTTAAATAAATAGATTTATAAGAATACATTTTTTTAGACAATTAAATAAGAAAGAAGATAATACAGAACTAATGCATCGTTTAATTCGTTTTATTTTTAGCCCTTATATTTGTTTTTCATCTAAAAGTTAGAAAATTTTATGTGCTAACTGAAACATTAGCCAAAGGTTTAATTAAAAGAATAAATAGTGAAATCAACATAATAGAAAAAAAAAAAAAAAAAACTCAGAAAGTATCTGCTCCCCATAGCGGACAGATCATCACACATGCAACTGCAGTGCAGCAATTAATGCGAGTCAACAAACGAATTCAGTATCCCGATTCCAATATTTTCTTGAGCATATATTAAAATCATAATTATATTATTTAAATAATTAAAAATTCATAATATTTGTAATATTTTATATAACTATTATTATATATATATATATATATAATAAAATAAAAAAAAGTAAGGAAGAAAAACGCAATTAAAAGTTGGCAATCAAAATAGTTCAAAAAATATTTTATAAGAATTTCAACATTTCTTCCTCTTTCTAAAACAATTTTTTTAAAAAAAACTACACGATTCCTAATACATAACTGCTGATATCTCTTTTAATTTGACTTTAAACATTTATTTTTAATACGTTTGTATATAAAAAAATATCAAATAATATTTTGATAGTTTTTTTAAAATAAAATATCTTAATATTTTTAAAATCAATTCCCTAATTTCTCAAATTTCTTATTATAAATGAGATTGAAATTTTATAAATAAAATTAATAAAAAAACACATTATTGTACAATTTTTTATCTCATCTTTATTTCTAAATCTCAACAGAAATAATGGAATTGATTTTGTCTGCGATCGAGAGAAACTTCGTATTTTTCTGACTTTTTTTATTTTTCCCGTGAGCTTGGGATTGGTCAATCGCTTCCCAAAAGACGGAGACAAATCAGTATTGATTCGTACTATAAAAAGTCTTTATAAACTTCATAAAAGCCTTTCTTTACTAACCCTCTTTAACTTTAATTTGTTGATCCTTTTGGATTGGTATCGTCAATCAACCAACTATTAAAGTCTTAATACACAATTTAAGAAGGTTACAAGCTTATATTTCTGCTGATATAAATGGTTGAAAATAAAATAATTTTATTTTTATATTAGGTGTTGTTTTAATTTCTTTTCTTAATAAGTATTTAGACTTTTCAATAATGTCAAGTAAAATAAAAAAAAACATTTTAATTTCATTGTGAAAAAAATTTAACAAAAATTTGCTAATTAAAAATCTAATTTCCTTAATAAAATGAGATGTTTAATTAACTTAAACTAAATTAGTTATTACGACAACTCTAACGTATTATTTACAACTATATTGTGTGTCTCTCTACCTTTAGCATTTGGTAACCTAGTAACTATTAACCTTAATTTTTAAATAGCTCTTCCCTAGTTATCCTGTTTTTGTGCAGCTCCCCTTGCTCATTGCACTACACCTAGCCTTATGCTTCACATCGTTCTTCTTCCCTCACATTTATTAATAATTTTATTAATAAATTTATTTATTGATATAATACATCATATTATTAATATAAATTTATTTATTTTTTATTTAAAAAATATATGTTAACAATAATTAATTTAACTTTAAATTATTGTAAGTAAATGACATTTTTTTAGTGTTGAATTATTAGACATGATTCCTTACGTCATTTATAAGTTTCTCTTGAAAAAATATATTATAAGCGGACGGATGGAAGAGAGCATTTATATAAAATGAACTTTCAACAAAACAAAATGAAAACTTTGGTCAATTTAAAAATTGGATGAGCATGTTTAACAATCATGGCAAAAATTATATAAATTTCTTTGTAAAGTTGGCTATTAAGAAAATTTATAATAT